GTCAGATGAGGAGAGTACAACTCAATCTTCAAGCACTAGCATCAAACATTTACCCTAAACATGCTAAGCGAATGAAGAGCAGGAAAAAAAAAAAAAAAAATCAAGTGCTAGAGTGAAGGAAAGCAACGAACAGAAGCATTCTCTCTCTTTATATATATATATATATATATATTCTTTCCTTTTTTTTTTAAGAGAATGAGTTACCTAAACACTCATCTATTTGACAAGTTCCCCGAATATTCAGGCATTCAACAAGTTCTCCTAGTACTCAGTTATCCGGCAAGTATGTTGAGTATTTTCTTATTTGACAAGATTTTATCATATAAAATGATAATAACAATTTTCTTTAAGAACTTCAAATGAATCTTTGAATAAAAATTTACAAGAGCAAAGATAAAAAAAATTGATTTTTTATGAATAAAAGATGTTTAAGTCATATCTGCTCCACATTCTTGATACTTCTTTGCCAGTATGAGTGTATGGTCGGTAGATGCCAGGGCCAATTACTTCTTTGATAATATAGGATGCTTCCCAGGTAGAACCTAAACTAAACCCAGTATTGATTATCGAGCTACATCATCAACTTCTTTGAGTATTAAATCACAAGCTCAAAAATTTTTTTTTTTCGAGCATTTGAGTTGTAATACCTGACGACTCTCCTTTTATCATCTTCCTGCTTAACAGATGATTGAATTTTGAGTTCTTTAAAGAAGTTGAATATTATTTTGAGCCATTCTTCATTTGCACTTCTCCATTCATCAAGCACTCCTTCAAAGCTAAAAAAATAAAAAATAAAAAAAAATTAAAAAAAAAAAAGCACTCCTTCAAAGCTTGAAGTGGCAACTATGACTGTAGAGGTTGTGCTCGACGAGAAAGATAGCTTTTGCAGCATGAGAGAGTGCAAAGGGTATCTACCAAGTCTCCAATGATAGAGTCGTCCTCAATGCGGAGAAAACTGAGGGAAGCAATAGCTCACTTGCTTTTCAACCCATCCCGTTTCTTTTTCAACAAGTTAAGAATCAACGTGTTGGCCATCTCTACCTGGCCATTTATCTTTGGATGATGAATTGAAGTGAAATTGAGCTGAATTCCCTTTCTTTTATAGAACTCCTTGATTTTCTTATTAGAGAATTGTAGACCATCGTCGATAATGATCACCATTGAAAGGACATATTTGCAGATGATGTCCGCCCATATGAAGGTTCGAACAACTCCAGTAGTAATCTTAGAGAATGTCGTTGCATCAATTCACTTTGTGCAATAATCTATCATCACTAAGATAAATTTTTTCTATCCCCTTGAAGGAAGGAAAGGGTTAATAAGTTCATGCCCAAAACAACAAAAGGCCATGGGCTTGAGATCGACTACAACTTGTGAGAAGGCTGAAGTTGCATTAGTACAAATTTTTGGCATGGAATGCATCTTTCCTCAGTGAAGGCCAAATATATCCCTATCTTAGCATGCGATTGGGCAAAATTCGTCTCTAAAATGGCTATCACACTAACTAATGTGAACTTCTGTGAGAATATCATCGACTTCAAATTCTTTTACGCATCTTGTCCACACCTGAATAACTCTTTATCAACGAGCAACTACTGAGTTGCATTTATTTAAGTTACTAAGGATCTTTGACATTCACAAAAATAATGCTCGATTTAAGTACTTGATGAATGGATCCACCCAACTTGGTTTTAAGAGTTGGTCGACCTCCATTACTTATGTTTCTTCAATTGTAGGATGAGTAAGTTCCAAACTAGGTCATCCATTAGCATTTTATATTGTAAAAAGCAAGTCAGCGAATTGGTTGTCATTTTTAAACATGTGGCATATTGTAAAATATTCGAACTTCCTAATTCCATTTTGAATAAGTATTTCTAAAGAGCTACTTCCTTTATTTCATATTGCTCATTGATTTAATTTACTACAAGTTGTAAGTCAGAGAATGTTGTTAAGTGTTTTGCGTCTACTCCAATAGCAAACCTCAAGCTAGCGATCAACGCTTCATATTCAGCTTGATTATTGGTTATTTGAAAACCAATTTTGACAGTATGTGAAGCTATAGTTCTTACTGGAGCCCTCAAACTAACTCCAATGCCAACCCCATCGATATAGGGTCCATAAGAAGTCGGCCATGAAATCAGAAAGTGCCTACACCTTGTTGTCCATTCTTAGAGTGTTTTATGCTCCACAGCTCATTTGAATAGTCATCAGAGTGGCTCAACTTCGTCATGACCGACTTTAATGGACAGTCGGTTACAACCAGAATCTAGTACACCTAAAGGTAAGTCGAAGTCGTTGCACAGAGATAATCAAAGCCCGAGCTAGTTTTCCATGATCAGATAGTGTATCTCAGGCATGCGTATAAATTTGCTCATATAAAAGATTGACCCTTGCTTCCCTTCATGAATGAGAACCGATTGCAGACTTTGAATATAGGCGATGAAGAGATGAGCGACTTTAATTATTAAAATACGACTTCACATTCTTTGCTCCAAACAAAGTGTTTAGCACTTTCTAAAACTTTGAAGAGTGGAAAATGCTTATCACCCAACTATGAGATAAATCGACTTAGGCCAGCAATTCGCCTTGTCAACTTCTACTCTTCTTTCACATTTTAAGGTAGGGTAGTTTGAGAATTGCTTTGAATTTATTTGGATTCATTTTAATATCTTTAATGTAAGAAAAAAAGCCCAAAAACTTCCCAGATCCAACTCCAAAGGTGCACTTTAAAGGGTTCAACTTTATAATGTACCTTTTTAGAGTAGCAAATGTTTTATGAGAACTTCAATGTGTTGTTTTGGTATTTTATTTTCTTATAAAGATGTCATCACCCATGTGTAGTGGGATAATGGCTTGATGTTGTTATTGTTGTTGTATAAAGATGTCATCAATAAAAATCAGAACATTTCGCCCTTCTAATCTCAAAAAATGTAATCCATCATCCTTTGCATACTGCACATACATTGTTAAATCAAAGGGGGCATTAAATTACAACAACACAATCCATCATCTATGCTAAACATTGTATTCTCACAGTCGACTAGGTGTATTTTGATTTGATAGTATCCAAGAAAGGGGACCAAGAAACTCAACATTGGTACTCGACTGCATAATCGACTAGAGCATCAATCCACGACAACGATAACCATCTTTTGGATAGATTGATTTCAAATTAGTGAATTCGAGACGCATACATCATTTTCCATTCGATTTATATACCATTGCTACATTTTAGATCCATTTTGAGTATTGCACCTCTTGAATGAATCGAGTCTCCACCAACTTTTGAACTTCTTCACTAATTAATTCAGCCAGCTTAATCGCCACTGGCCTCATCTTCTGCTTTATTGGCCTCATCTTCTTATCAATATTTAGTCTATGAAAGGCTACATTGATGACCACACCCGACGTTTTGCCAGCTAACTAGAAAAATACATCCACATTCTCCCAAAGAGTTATGAACAATTCAACCCTTCATCAAACACAATACTAATTCTAAAAGTGTGGTCTTTGTTTCTTCAAAGATTGGCACTTCAATTATTTCAACAATATCTAACATGAACCCTCTTTCCACATCAAGTTCAAGAGTTCCTTCTTGAACATTTCTCAATGCGTTGAGGAAGTTAGGTCTTGCTTGTGGTAAGTCACACCTAATTGAAACTACAAGACCACTTGCAAGAAACTTCATAACGACATTATATATAGAGATGACTACTTGAAAAGTGTTTAGCAATGGTCAACAAAAGATTGTGGTGTACGTAGTTGATGCATTGACTACGATAAAATCGGCCATAACAATAAATTGCCTTTCTCCTTCTCTGCAAGTAATTGGTAGGTCAAGACTCTGGCTCCAGAAAGTATCCTCATCCTCCTCCGGCAAATCCACTCTAGGAGGGGCTCTCAGAATCCTCTTTAGTTCTCTTTAAACCAAATAGCCTTAGCTTGAATTGAGCTTTTTTTGGATATTTGGATGTACAACAACTAAGTTCACATAGAGAGATAATATCCACTAGTACATATACAAAAATATTATATAAATATTTTTATCACTATTATATCACTTGTATTCTTCCCTATTTCTCATATTTCCTCTCTAAGTCTTAGCATGATTCCTCCACAATTTAAACTTGTCACCTCCTATGTTGACTTACTTGTTAGTCATCAGCGCCTGTGAAAGTCATTGATTACTTCTTTTAAAGACCTCTGCCTTGTAACTATCACATAATACCTTCAATGCTCGTTATCAATCACCCAATATAGAAATTCATATGTACGACACTAATCAATATAACTACTAACCTTTGATCACTTCATTGGCCACTTCTCTAACATCTGCCTCTACATCTTGGCTAACTGAAGACAAAGAAAGAATGATGCCCTTCAATAACATGCAACAATCTCTTCATATAATGCTTGAAGGTGGTAGGTATGAAGGATTTGATGCAAATATAATCTTATAACCACCGAACATGAAAATCAATCATATTTTGATCCAAATCTTATCCAAGATTTTCATGGATTTAAAGTCTTTGAAATCAAACTTTTGTGAGAGAGAAAGTAGACTCCACATCTAATATAATATTCATTTTTTACTTCCTCAAATCTAGATCAATGTTACCATTGCCATTTGTGATACCATTTAACTAAACATTTGCTTGTTAAGTTATGCATCACTTAAGTAAATTAATAATTTAAAATACTGAAATAAGTATTAAGTATTATTAGAACATGCATGAGATTAGAAATCAACTCAAAGAAGGTTTAAGAAAAATATTTCATGATTTGAGCATTTATAATACAAAGTGGAAGATGCAGTTGGAAAGAGGGAAGACCAAAGCATAGAAAGGAAAAAGGTAGACCACAAGCTCAAATTTACATCACATGCGACACTCATAGGAAGGACAATAAAAAAGGAGGATTGATAAGGTTGGTCTTGATAGTTGGGATGAGGCTACTAATGTTGGAGTTAATAAGTATTAGCATAAAAGTCAAAAATTTTGATGCATTTGAAGGTTGCTTCTCTTGCTATCACAAACAGAAGATAGGGCATGCAAAGATATTATTGTTCTCAGGGCGCTGCATTGATTTCAGCTGTATTATTCAAGAAAAAATATTTTCAGTTTAAAGTAACTTTAACGTGCTTCGTTGGAAATAATTTTCAGATAATGTAACTAAATGTTCACGATGTTCTATTGCTGTGGAATTCTAGAGTACTAATAGGAGACGTCAAGAAAGATAAAATGGAGATTCTCAGCATTGGTATCAAATCCTAAGCATGAAAATGTTGTTTACGGATAGGTGAACATGAAACATCCCTAATTTAGTTATGTAGAATCTAAAAAGAAGGATAAACTTCGTAGACCAATTAGTGGATTAAAAAAGTTAAATTATGGACCAATATATCAAAAGAGAATTTCAAACCTTTTGCATCTTCTATTAATGTTACATTTGGTCTACCTATTATCCATCTTAATTCTTCAACATTAACTTTATCTACCCATTATACTAGTGTTTTTTATACCCTTCATTATAAATACCCAACCCACGTAAACTTATTTCTCACGATATTATCTTCAATAGATGCTACTCCTAATTTTTTTTTTAATATAATCATTTCTCGATCTTTTCTCTCTAGTATTGTCGAACGCTATTTTCACATTTTCATTTATGACACATTCAACTTTGCTATGAATAACCTTTATATCACATAACATTCAAAATCATATAGTATAGTTGGCCTAATTGTGTTTTCTAAAACTTAAATGCAAGTATCCACAATACCCTCTTTTTGCATGATAAAACTTGACCCTTCTTCCTTCTAAACACACGGTTCCCGTGACATCCTCTTTCTGCATGATATAAGTTCTATTCTCATTTATATCACAACTCTTTTATCTAAAAGATACAAGATACTTAAATCTAACAAACTTGGGTATCTCCTTATATTCTAATAATGTTCTCAAACAACTATTAATATCACACTCATTAAATTATACATCATATAATCATATATTGTTCTGCTGATCCTAAACCCTTTATTTTCTAAACATTTTCATTATTCTTTCTCATATATTATAAAAAAAGTTTCATTGATTAAAAATATAGCTATAAAAGTGATGTGAAACCACATAGGAATTGCATGTATAAATTTATAATGATTGAATTAGGCGTCGTAACTTAAACTTAATGTTTCACTTTGAAAAGATTTTACGAATTTAAAGTTGTTTAAATTGATATGGCAAGTAACCACACAATAGAAGACAAGTTCTCAAAATAATATCAAGATTATAATGAAAATAAGTAGTGCAACAAACAAACAATCCATCATGTAACAAAGAGAGAATTCACCTCGAGTTTCCTTCACTCGCACTCTTTAAGGGTTAGTGAAAGAAGAATCGCTACAATATGGAAGATGCCACCACGAAGGAGAGGAAGCCGGGATAGAGATCCAACGAAAGTTAGCCGGAGGAGGGGCTATGTGTAGACGACCGGTGATCCACCAACGTCCAGAGGGAAGATGCTTGACTTCTTTTCTTGCAAGAGGGCTCATGGGATGAGAGTAATTCCAATAAGGTGGGCAAGAAAGAAGGCCGGCCAAGTGTGGAGGGAATTAGGGTTTGTGGGGTCTAGGTTTGGGGTTATGAAAAGAGTATTAAATATGAAATTAATTTTAGATTTAATTAAATGAGGGAAAAGAATTTGAAATTCAAATTCAAATTTAAATATGAGTTAGGGGAATTAGAGTTATTAAATCCTCTTTAAAATTAATTACCATGGAGGGTAATCAATTAAGAGAATTAATTGAGGGTGGAGGGAAGGATTAGAATTCAAATTTTGAATTCTAAATTTGGGCATAAGGGGGGCCGACGGTATGGATGAGGGTGAGGGAAGTTGAGAGGGGAATTAATGCTTCATAATTTTTTGGTTCACTTTAGGGAAGAGAATAAATAATTCTTAAATTAGATTCAAATTGAAAACTTTCATAATTTGAAAAGGCTAATTTAGAAATGTATTTGAAATCCAAATTTGAATTTCAAATTGGATTAAATTCTCTCCCGAAATAAGTGGGCTAATTAAGATAATTGTTAATGATGATTAAAATCATCATCAAGAGGGCAAGGGTGAGGTGGCCGGCGGTGGAGCAAGGGGATGGGGGGTATTGGTGGTATGAAAGTTGATCAATTGGTGGGGGAGGGGCCGGTGGGCTAGAGGGTGGGTGTGGGTGGTTGACGGGTGATGGGTGGAGTGGAGATTGAATTAATTAGATCCACAAATTGAGCACTTTCATAATATGGATTATGTCAATTTAGGAAAGAATTCAAAATCTGAATTTGAGATCAGATTTTGAATTGGAGTTCCCTCCTAATCTTCATGCTCCACTTTTGGAAAGAGGCAAGATAATCAATTTTGGATCCATGGGAGGGGAAGGCCGGCAGTTAGGGTTTGGGTGGCATTTGGCTAAGGAGGAAGGGGTGTGGGTTAAGTGGGAGGGATCTTGTTGAGGTTGACCGGCGGCTTGAGAACTTGAAGTGGCCGACAGGTGTTAGGGGAAGAAGAGGTGGCTGGATGTAGGGGAAAGGAAGAAACGATAAGAAAATACTACGAGTACTAACGGCGAGTCCCGGAATTCATCGGCGACTGACAGGTGTTGCAAGGCCCTCTCCTCAGGTTTCTCCTCTCAAGAACTCACAAAGAGATCAAGCAAGAAATCTAGAAATTTTCATTCATAATCATCATCATCAAAATACAAGATCAAGGACCAAATATATAGGCCTCATAGAGAAAGAAAAGAAATGACAAAAGTACCCATAGGGCTACAACTCAACTCAACACAAAAGCAAGGGTACAAACATAAATAAAGAAAATATGAACTAATACATAAAATATCAAATATATAAGCTCCTCATCGTAGCCATCGATCTACGATGCTTCTAGCAGTAGACATTCCAGAATCTCCTATTGATGTCCTCATCAAAAAGTCATACATTAAGGTACCTTACTATGAATATCCTTTATAAGCATTTTCAAAACAAGCACACAAAGATGCAAAACTGATATTGATCCTTGATATAATATTATGTGATTGAGAACTCTTTGATTATTCTACAACTTCTTTTAATACTAATCAATACTCCATTATACATATTTTTAATAAATTGACTAAAAATCTTAATAATGCCCACCAAAATAATTCTCACAGCACAAAATCATATGCCTTATCAAAATGACTAAAAATCATATTAAAATCAATTCGTAGCTCTCAACATTTTTCTGTTAATTTTTTTAGCATAAAAATAGCCTCCACAATAAAACTTAAAAACATAAAATAAATATGTTTCTCCGATGCCAAAATAATCTTAAGCCTATGCATTCCTCCCATAACTTCATTGCATGACTTACATAAGTTTAATTCCCAAATATTATCACAATCATGAGCATTTTTTTCATGAAATAGTTTTATATGGAATACACAATCCTGCGCATTTATATGTTCTTTAATATTTGAATTAAAATATTTTTCTATAATTATTTCGCATCATTTTACTCTTCGAAATATTTTCATATGGAATACACAGCGCCGAGTTCAATCACGCTGAGGCGTCCGTTTCCTACATTGCAACACCAATTTTCTCTGTTTGCAAGCGCCGCAACGGTTCCATAGTTAGCACTGTGGCGTTACATAGCATCGCTGCACCAAAATTTAGCACTGCAATACTAGGTGTCTTGGAAAAATGAGTGTCGAAGCGCCATGCCTTTTCACACCTCAGCACTGGATTCTCCATTCGAGCACCCCAGCGCTCGAACTTCTGGAGAACTGCGGCGGAGCAATTACAAAAGCGAGGAGCCGCACTGATTCAACTATAGACACGTCATTTCAATTAGTAACCATGCCACATAGCCAGCACCGCAACAGAGCAGACTTTACAGCGCCGAGATGCTAGTTCATTTTTCACCGTCACGACGCCACCTTGTCAAGTGTTGCGGCGCTTGAACCCGATCCTATACTAATTATAAATAGTTTTTTCATTATGTTGTTTGGATAGTTATATTACTTGAGTGAATTCTTGTAATTTTAGTGTTTTTCTTTAATGTCCTCTTAGAGTAAAGTCTAAGAGAGGCTAGAGAAGTGAAATATACTTTCCTAGTGTAGATCTTAACCTGTTTGTGTAAGCAACTCTGTGATTGGTGGAATGAGTGTATAAAAAAATCATTTGATCCTTTCGGGTGACAATTTTCTTATTACTTCTCTTTTATCTTTTCTTTCAATGAATAAATAAAGATGAGTTTGTATGTTATTTCCTCAATGTCTGACTAATTCTCTAGTTTTGGGCTAATGATATAGAAAGCATAGTATATACTAATATAGAGTCTTGTGCTTTAATAAATGTACTGATGTTTTCAATATCTCCCGAACTTCATTTAAAGCATACAATGACAATATGTGTAGTTAAAATATAATGTGATGCGTAGCCTCGATAGAGGAATACTGGAATAATTAAGAATATTAAAATGGAATATTGACATGCCTAGACATAGGATGTTTAAATATTCTAGGTTCTATGGAGCTAGTAAAACTGTAGGAAGGCCTTAAACCTTTCTTTTTACACCTACAAGCTTGATAGAGATCTAGGGAAGCATATGCTCTGATCCACACTACTATTAAGAGTCTCATTAAAAAAGCTAAGTTATTTACATTCATTAGTCCAAAACATTTTATTCTTGTAAGTATCAAAAATATTGTTTGCAAGTCATTATTTTCTTTTAGTGACAAAAACTCCAAACATCGATCATTTTCATTTTCAGTAGGATAAATGGTGCATTTGAAATAAACAGTAGTAGTTAAGTTACAGTTTTAGCAGAACACTTCCTCATGGGTTTGACACTCTACTCTTTCACTTTATTATTTGATTCGGTACGTATGTTTGCGTAATTTAGTGAATTGTTAGTCTATTACTAATTTTATATCTAAACATAATTTAAACTCAGCGAGTCTCATATTAGCTCACTATAAGCTAGCTCCATCACCTTGCAGTCCTTTATTTTATGCTGAAAAGTATAACTATTCCTTTCAATAAAATACCATAAATAGCATAAAATAAAGTATCCCAAAGCTTCTTGTGATCATTTGGGATCAAATCATTTCCCCAAGTACACCTAAAGCTCTAAATTTTATACATCTTCAAAGATAAATTCACCTCAATATTTTGAATCAATCCATAATATACCTTATTATATTGTTCATTATACTCTTCAAAAGAATTCCATCTAAAAAACTCTCCTTCAATAATTTCCCATAAGAATCATTTTCATCTTTCCTTGATGACTTCATATTAAACTAGCATATTATTATCTTCACATTTGATGCATCTAATATGATCCACATCTCTAAATATATTATCTCTTTCCTAAACTGTGAAAATGCCAATAAGATGGCCTTAATTCCCCGATCTTTCCTGCAAATAGCTGAGAGAGGTCAATTTCAATCCTGACAAACTAAAAGCATTATGTAAAGTAGCCCTAGGACATAAGACGGCTATAGGTTAGGCAGATCGAAGCAATGCAGCCACGGAACTCTGCATGAGATGAAACAATCATCAAATTCTTATATTGTCCTTTATTTTTGGGGCAAGATACCTATTTTCCTTCTATCTCTGGCAGATCACATTTGGAACCCTCTCTCTCTCTCTCTCTCTCTCTCTCTCTCTCTCTCTCTCTCTCTCCCTCTCTCTCCCCTCCAGAACCTTGGTATCACAATTTTCTATAAGCGTCCAGTCAAATGCCTCTTGAAGCAAGTGATGAAAATTTCGACAAATACCACAACAAAATTTGTTGGGATCAATAACTCACGGTATATTTTTGGCTTTCAAAAACGATACTTGATCTACAGGCAATACGAAGTTCAATGTAAGGTAATTTTGAACCCAAAAAAAAAAAAAAAAATCGAAACTCTACGGGAACAGAACACAGATGGGAAAAAGCCAAAAAACATTAAATGTAGACATTAGATAGGAGAGAGCTTAATGGTTCTGCACATCACGAACTGAAATGCTGGGAGTAAAAGATGGATTCTCAATGATAATCGTACCTGCAGAATAGCCTATCATTTTCTGTAGGACTAGGGTTCTTACCGCTCCAAGCCGAACTAGTTCGCGGAAGAAGATAACTGTTGGAATATCAAATTTATGTATTTATATGTACAACGATTAAATAGATAGAAATTAAAAAAAAATTAAAAAAAGTTTAATTAGATTATTAATATTTGAATAAAAAATAAAAAATAAATATAAAAATATATTTTATAAATAATTAAACTTTAAATATTATTTATATAGTTATTTAAAAAATTTATATTAATAACAATGGTTTCAATGTAAATATACTTTTGCACACTATACAAAATTATTTTTTATTTAAAGCATTTAGAAGCAAGATATATATCTTAATATTTTAAAAAATTAAGAATAAATAGAATATACAAATTTATATTAAATTTTTAATATTTAAATGCTAAAAAAATATTCTATGATTAAGAACATAAATATATGCTATCCAATGATTTTTTATCAAAAAATTTTGCAAAATTAATTTGAAATCTCTCTCTTAAAAATTATAAATAAACGCTTATTATATATAGAAGAATTTCGGAGCATAGACTTAGAGTTGGAGAGAGTTCTACCAATGATCAATACTTATACATAAATTAAATCATTTTTTTAAGCTATAATTTTATGATTGGAAGTCAATCTTATAATCTTTAGACTAAGACTTCGTTTTAATGTTTTTTTAATGTTTCTTAAAACAAATTATTTTACATAAATTTAATTTTTTTACTAAAAATTTATTTTAAGAGGCAATAAGTAAACAATCTCAAACGAAGCCTAAGATACGATCTAGATTGAGATTTTATCCAACATATTATTATTAAAATAAATATAAATATGATCGAATATGAGAGATTTATCTGGAAAGAATAACTGATAAAATTTTAATTATAATAAAATAATAATAATATAGATATTGGGTAAACATAGAGGCGGAGACAGTTAAAATACAAATAATAAGCTAAATCGAGTTTTATTTTATATTTTAGTTTTTTATAAGGGCATAAGGGCATAAGCTAAATTTGGACGGCTTTTTTACCTCTTCTTAAAATAGTTTTTTATTAAAAAAAAATCCTAATATAAAAAAAAGAAGCCATAGTCGCACCACATAACGCCCTATTTGCAGAGCAACCGTTCCTGTATGTAAATTACTTGGTTCAGGCGAAATTAGCTCGACTGAAATGATGATCCCAGCGGCAGGACCGGTGGCGGCGTCGTCCCAGCAGAATACGCAAGATCCGGCCGACACGACGGCGGAGGCTCCTCCAAAGCAAGTAGCTACTGCGATGGAGAGGCTCTCGCGCGCTGCCCGTCTTATTGCGGACGTCAGAATCGGTGCTGACCGCCTCCTTGAGGCGCTCTTCCTCGCGGCGGAGTCTCCTTACCAGTCCAATAAGTCCATCCAGCTTGTTCTCAAAGAAGAGTCTGCAATGCGTAAGCACTTCCAGGATCTTCGATCACTTGGTAATTTCTTCTCTTTGCTCATATCTCTCTTCAAATAGTTTGATTGCGGTTGTCTTCATAGTTTTTTGTTGATTAGTTAGGAAAAGTTAAGAAGAATCGTAAAATTTGATTGTAATATGGTTTCAGGGGTTGTTGTTTTTATTTTTGTCTGGGTTTTGCTTGTCAAGGGTTTTGCTTCTAGTCTTTAATCGATTCTATGCGGATTGATTGGGCTGGAGCTCATAGAGCTTTCCAATTGAGGTTAGGGCGTTATAGTTAAGTTGCTATATGCTATTGATAACAGATCTAGTATCATGTATGGCAATGTAAAGGTTTAATTTTTCCCTTTGCATCTTATTCATTTCGTCCATATTTGGCCAGTGTTAAACATATCCTGCTCCATAATTAAATATAGATTTAGTAATGTTATCCATGTCTAGTTATTGGTATTTGAATTTTCAATGGAGCTTTAGAAGTTTTGTTCTTGGTTAACCATAAAAGAGTGAGAAATTGCATGCCATGAATGGTCGTACCACTTCTTTTTAACAAGTTATAATGACTCAGGAATTGACGTTATTCAGTGGCTTTAGAATTTGACGACTAATGTGACATGCTCAGTGAGAGAAGAGTTCACCATAGACTCCAGTTGAAGAACAGAGAAAAATTGGATACAACAACAACATCAAACCTTTATTCCACTACGTGGGGTCAATTACATGAATTTTTTTTTCTCCATGTGTCCTGCAAAGAGTTAAATTCTCATTTAAATCTAATAAAGAAAGGTCATTTCTAATACTTTATAACCAAGTCTTTTGAGGTCCACCTCTACTTTTTTGACATACATCAAATCTAATACATCTACTCTCCTAACTAGGTCTTCGGAAGATTGATGTTTTATGTGACTGAACCATCAAAGGCGGCTCTCTCTAATCTTATCTGATGGAGCTACTCTATCATTTTCACATATATATTCACATTCTGTCTCTAAGAGTTATGTCACTTATCCTCCTAAGCATCCTCATCTTTATAACACTTAATTTTATGCTTTTCTTTTAATGGCCAACATTTTGCACCGTAAAGCATTGAAGGTCTCACCACCATCTCATAGAATTTTCCCTTAAGTTTAAGGGGTATTTTTCTGTCACAAAATAGGTCTGATGCATTCCTCCACTTTAACCATCCAACTTGGAGTCTACTAATAATATTCCTATATATTTCACCATCACTTTGAATAATAAACCCGAGATATATAAAATGTGTATTATTTTTAATGAACTGATCACCCAAAGTCCCAAAGTCCCAAAGTCACAATCCCCCAACTATATCTATAATTATTAAAGTTACGCTTCATGTATTCAATTTTAGTTCTACTCAAATGAAAATCTTTAGATTCTAAGGCTGACCTTCATAATTCAAAATTTTCTTCAACTCCCTCTTTAGTCTTATCAACAAGAAGAATATCATCAACAAAAATCATACACTAGAGTACATCCTCTTGTAAATGTCTAGTAAAATCATATGGGCTTAAAGCTGATCCTTGATGTAATCCAACTGAAACAAGGAAATACTTGATCAAACCACCTTGTGTTTGAACAAAAGTAACAACTCCGATATACATTTTCTAAATGAATTGAATATAAGAATTATTAACTCATTTCTTTTCTAGAACTCTTCATAGCACTTTTCTTGGAACTTTATCATATGTTTTATCTATGTCAATAAATATCATATGTAGATCATTCTTATTATCTCTATACTTATTCATCAAATATCTCAATAAATGTATAGCTTCCATAGTAGACCTACTTGGCATGAATCAAAATTGATTTTGAGAAAATATCAGCGACTCTCAAATCTAACCAGCTATTTGAAGATGCCATGTGGCTATTTATTTTAGCAAAAAGGGAAAATAAAAAGAAGCAGTTGTACTTCTGGTTTTATGAACTACTGATGGGACATTAGATCGTGGAAGGTTTATCAGAGGCGTGGCCGCCGATCTACGGCCACGATCGAGTTATTTTACTTTTTATTTATGTTATGTATTGTTTTATTTATGAGTCGTTGTATTCGTTTTATTTTATGTTATTTTATTTCCCGTCGTACCCTTCTAGAAAAGAGATGTCGTATGTAAGTCCCGAGGGCATTTTTGTATTTCTATTTCATGAGTCTCATGTACTAGGCTATTTATAGCCGCTTGTTTTATTTTTTCAAGTAATAAATGATTGGTAAAAAAAAATTCTTCCTTGCATGAGTTCTTGTGAGAGCTTGAGAGTTTGATTGGAGAGAAATCCCTAGGAGAGGAAGATCGGATCACCTACCAACCTTGGAGGCGGCCGGGTTCTTGGTTTTCTTCCTTATCTTTTTCCTTTCCCCTTCCACCATTACCACCGGACATCATTACATCCCAACCATCTCCATCTCCAAGCCATCGTCTCTTCCCAGCCGAGCTCCACAAATTTTCCCCCACTAGCCGCCGGCCACCTTACCCGAAACCCCTTCCACCCGCCGGCCCTAGCCTCCTTCCCACCTTAAAATTTCATTGCCTAATTTGGATTGGAGTAATTGGGGCAGATTTTGAATTCAAACATAAACAATTTGAAATTTAAAATCTTCCTTAAATTCTTAAATCTATTTTAGGAAAGTTTCTAAATTTATCCTATTTGAATTTCAAATTTAAATTGTAGTTAATTTAAGTCTTTCCTAAATCCTAAATCCAAAATAGGAACCCCCAATCACTTGCCCCCAATCCCCTCTCACCCCATGATGCCGCCGGCCCCCCCTCTCTCCCTATCCCATTAATTCTCTTTTAATTATTTTCTAAACCCAATTCCTCACTTAGGAAATAATTTCAAATTCCCAAATTCTCTTTGGCCGAAATTTTTAAAGCCCTCATACCTCCTTATTTCTTTCCAAAATCTAACATTGATTTTGGAAATAAATCCCTAGCCTCTCTCCTTGCCGCCATCCCTTCCTCCTCCCTTTCCCTTTTGAATTTATTTCAAATTCTAATCCCCTTCTTTATAAAATATGAAATTATTTTCAGATTTTATTTATTGTCTCTCTCAAGATCAAAGCAAAACTCTTTGAGCTCTCCTTCCTTTGCCGGCCTCTTCTCTACGTCCCGTTGACGAGAAACTTCTTTCTCTTCAACAATAGTCAAGAGTGCTAGTAATCGTTGGGAGGACTTTCGTCATCAAGCATCCATGCATGGCCGATCCAAAAACTGAATACGGCCTAACCTACGACGAGCACGGGTTTGTGTGCATCTTACATTCAACCTTCTTCGACGTCAACCTGAGGATCGATCACTCCGTGGAGGATTACATTGAACGAATCTTGGACACGTTGGTGGAAGCTATTGAAGAACAGTTAGAGATCGTCGAGTGGAGGATCGCCACCGATCCTTGATGAAGGTTTTTTCCTACTCTTCCTCTTCGTGTCTTTCATTAGCCTAATCTTTCTTGTGAGTTGATTGTAGTCATGAAGGATGCCTCCATCTACTTATGCTAAAGTTTAGTAAACGTAGGGATTTGAGTGTACTTCTTTGCTTACTAATTCTTATTGTTAGATTAGAGATTTTTATTGAAACTACTATTCCGGCATGATGTTGTTTTCTAATTTATTTTAAAAGTTTCAAATCTCTGGTTATGTGACTTAGCCTAAGCGGGTGTGACCCCTTTCTCGTTTTATTTCGTCGTTTTTAAATGCTTGTTGTTTTCTTCATTATTCTTTAATCAAAAGTTGTGCAAGATCTTACAAAATCATCGCATTCATACGTAGTTCTACATCAACTACTTGTGATTGTTTCCTTGTAGTTCAACTTTAGAACATTATGTAACTAATTTATGATAAAACCTTCTCCATTTTATGCTCTGACAGAGATGAGGATTGCTCCTCCATTGGATGAGGTTTGAGGAAAAAGCTTGCTTTATCATGGTGACTTGTTGAGGATAAAATTTAGTTCCTTAGCTACTGCTATTTAGTATTTTTTTATTGACCTTGTTATTACTAATAAGTATTCTATTTATATTCAATAAAATGAGTTTCTTTCTGTGCACCTAAGAAATAGTAGGTGCGAGTAAGAAATGGGAAATAATCCTCACAGGCGAAATGAATTTCTACCCTTAAGAGGCAATTGATTACACTCCTTGTGGGGTTTGATTACACTTCTTGTGGGGATTGATCGTTGTTGTTGCACCCTAGTTTCACTTGTAAGGGTCCCTTTCTTCTTCAGCAATAATGTAATTAACCAGATTATTCCAAAAACCTTCACACCCTTTGAGTGCCCAAGCAAACGGGAAGGAAAATGAGAAGATTGAGAGGGAGAGAAGAGTTTTTTTTTTTTTCGGAGCATTAAGAATTCAGTTAAGTTAAGAAGAAGGATGGCTTGGAATCATCCCATGGAAGAGTTTTGAAAATTGTGCCTTATAAAGCTCTCCTCCTACGGTGCTAGTTTTACTTTGATTACATCATTGGGTAACCCTCTAAGTCCCCCCTTTCTTTCCTTTTAATTATGATTGTTAAAATAGAAACGCTTCAAGTGTATTATAAGATAAGACGATATTATCTGGACTTAGTAAATTTTATAAAAGTGCAGTTAAGCTAGCTATATTGTATGGTTCTGTCTGTTGGGTAGTAAAAGAGTGGCTGCCATCTAAGTTGAACGTGGTGGAAGTAGGAATGTTGGTATGTAATTTGCAAAGAAAATTAAAAAGGGTAAAACATGGGATGATTATATTGGAGGGGTGATTGAAATACAATCTATTTAAAGATTAGGTTGTTGAAATAGATTTAGGTTGTTTGGACATGTTTAATGAAATGTAAAAAATACATCCAATGGAATTGTAGATAAAATTAGCTTTAGTGGTTTATGAATAAAAATGGATTGATCCAAGGCATAGATAGAAGATGTTGAAAAAGATTTGCAAAAATTAGATTTGACAACTAATGCAACACTAAATAGGAACAAATAAAAATTGATGATTCATATAGCCAGTCTCAAATAGTTTGAATATGGCTAATGATAATGATGATGTGCAATATGGAGAATTTGAGGAGACAAACATAATAACAGTTTCATTAGGAGTGTAAACTAGTTGAATTGTGCTCAAATTATAGTTAACTCAAACTCATCTCATTAGTCTACTGATAGGCTTGAGCATAAGCTCGAACTTGAACTTGACTCGTTAGTCTTTGGCAATTTCTAGTTCGACTGATGACCTTGAGTTCACTATAAAAGCATTATGAGTAAGTTGTGTTGAGAGCTTGCTAGGGAAGGTATTGACATCTGCAAGGAAGACATTATGGGAACATGCTGAAGAAGGCATCAATGAGCCGCCGATGTCTAAAGAAAAAGAAGAGGTAGTCATGATAGGTTCAATGATGTTTGAAGAAGAGGAAGAAGACAAAGTTGCGATGGGATATGTGGTATTTGACAATGAAGAATTCATGACGGGGCTGATGATATTTAAGTTAAGGGGGTTAATTTTGCCTAATACCCTAAATCGAGTGGTTAACGAGTCATCTCAATCAAAATTTAGCATAAAACAAGGGAAAACCAGGGTTTAAGAGACCCTGTTTGCGATCCAATGAGTCGAGCCTCTGAAGCTCAAACTTGAGCCTCATAGAATATATGATCTATAACTTGAGCTCGAGCTCGAGCTTGAACTCTCAGTTTAATAAGCACTACTCACGAGCTTTTTACTAAGTCAAGTTTCAACTAGCTCATGAATCGGTTTTGCTCACTGACTCCCTAGGTTCGATCAATTTCTACACTTGCTCCTTCATAAACCCATGATTTTTTTTTTAAACATTTTTCTTATGCAAGGTTTAAAATTGTGCAACTGGGCATTGAGATATTTTTCATCTGTGACACAAGGTATAAGCCTATAGGCGTGACCTTTAGAATTAGCAATTGTGTAAAGTAAGAGGCACTGTACACACTTTAAAGTATGGAGTAATATATAACATATTAATATAACATATTAAAAAGTAACACATTAACATACTAACTTTAATAAAAAGTAATAAATTGCTTAAAGTATCAAGTAAAATTGTTATGTAAACATCAAAATAAAATAAGATATCTAAGTAAGAACTATTAACGTAATAATTCAAAAAAAGTTTTACCTCTCACCCACTCATACTGTCTAACAACCAAATATAAAGATAATAAGTGAAGTAATTAGTTGTAAATATTAGAATTTTCAAAATCAAATGCCCTCAGCACTCTTATCACTGAAGGGATGTTTATTGGAATCATCGTCATAATGAATTATTTTCCTCCTCGCCTCATCCTAAGTTGTATCAATATTATCTCAGACTTTCTCTTCATCCTCGATCTCATTCATCTTTTTTTTTCTAATCAATAATAATCAATAAAAAAGTAAGAATATTAATTGATGTTTAAAAAATGACTATATTGATGATTATAACTTAAATATCAAAATTTTTATAGATACATTTTCTTTTTATTTTTTATTGACTTGTGTTAGACATATTTATCTTGCCTATCCCTATTCAAAGAAAATAATATTGAGATATTCTTGTTGCAAATTGGATTGTATGACTTTGTTATCATCATTGATAAATGATTCATCATTTGATAGCATAAATTACATAGTAAGGGAACTTCATCATCATTTAAATTCTTTTATTTAAAATTTCTATCCTTTTAATATATATATATATTTTAAAATCCTAACCTTACAATATGAGGTTCATGGCTCAAATTACTTTAGGTGAGGCATGCCTAACATGTGAGACATATGTCTCACACCAAGATCAAATCGCTTAAAAAGCACTAAGTCCTTCCTTAAATTGTGCAATTTTAAACCACATTTTTAAGAAACACCAACAATCTCTGACAAAAGTAAAACCTTAAACCCATTTGAATAATAAAATTATTAAACCAAAAATTGAAGGTTTATTTCTATGCATCATTCTAATTGGATTCATTGGTAAACTTGCCTAGGAGTGAATGTTGTTGTTTGCATAATCTTAATTTTTAGAAACAATGGTATCTTGAGACTAGTGGTATAGAAACAATGAGCCTAGCAGTCTAGAAATTTCTTAGGATTGTAGAATATTTTCTACTTTTGAGTTAGAAATTTGTCTAGACATAGTTGCTTTCTGATGCAATCAAGGCTAGCTATTTTATTGTTTTTTTTTTTTCACTTATATTTCTAGCCCTCTTTCTCTTGTGGCTTTTCACTTAGTTTTCCTGCTATGTTATAATTTTTCATGTTTCTACTCATTTTCCATGCTGTTGTCTTTCTCTATTTTGGTTGTTTTCCCTATGTTGCTGTCATGTTTTCCATGCTATTGCCTTTCCCTATTCGGGCCATTTTTCCATGCTGTAGTCCCCTTTTTTGTTGCTGGCTGTTCAATTTTCACCTTATTGTTTTCCTATACCAAGTGCATTAACTCATTAAATGGGATGATTTAAAACGTGAAACCTAGGGGTTTTTAGCTTTCCGAGCTATCATCTCTACCTTACTTCTTATATTTCGTCTCGGTCTTATATTTATTTCTTCTTTCCACAGTTTCCATTCCACTTGTACCTTTCTCTCCACAGTTTCGATTCAAAATTGTAAGGTGTCTTTGAGTCGTATTTATAGAGTGTCATTGATTTGTGTTTTTAATTTAAAATAATATTGTTATATTGTTTATGTTTGTTTTTGTTTTAAGGAAAGAAGTTTTTTAGATTGCAATATTAGTTTGTTTTTTTTATTGCATCAATTTGGTAAAAGAATTAGGTTGTCGTGTGAGTATTGCTTTCTCTTTAAAAATCAAAAACAAAAAAGGAAAGTTAAAACAGTCAACAAACTGAAGTTTCAATTCAAGAGAAATATCTGTCATCACTAAGAACACATTTAGAACACCAGGGAATCACTATCGTTCAACCTGTCAAACCAAACCAAGTCATCCATAACTTTTCATCAACAGATTGATTGTGGAGTTGCAACATCGTCGTCCAGATATCTTTCAGCGTGTTCCTGAGGCATTCTCATCAGGAGATAAGTTTTTTCTATCAAGGGAGAATTGATGCAATCAAGGCTAGCTATTTTTTGTTTTTTTTTTTTAATTTTTCAATTATGTTTCTAGCCCTCTTTCTCCCGTGGCTTTTCACTTAGTTTTCCTATTGTGTTTTCATTTTCCATGTTGTCTACTAATTTTTCATGGCTGCTTTCCTCATGTTGTTGTCTTATTATCCATGCTGCTGCCTTTCCCTATTATGGTTGTTTTACCCATGCTGTAGTCCCCCCTTTTTTGTGTTGGTTGTTCGATTTCTACCTTGTTGTTTTCCTATACTAAGTACATTAACTCCTCGTTAAATGAGATGATTTGGAGGGGTTTTAGTGGCTGTTTTGGTGGCACATTTATGTGGGATAATAAATGCCCTTCCCCCTTCTTCCTCCTATAAATTGGGTTTGAATTTCTTTGTGAAAAAATAGAGTGATGTGTGATGAATATTTGAAATGTGAAACTTGCGGGTTTTTAGCTTGCGAGTTATCCTCTCTACCTCACTTGTTCTATTTCGTATTTACTTATTCTCTCCATGGTTTCCATTCCACTTATACCTTTCTTCTCAAAATTTTTATAAGTTGTAAGGTGTCGTTGCATTATGTTTTATTTAAATTATTTGTTGTTGTTATCCCTTTTATTTGAAGTTGTAAGGTGTGTCTTTATTTATAATATCATTTTTATATTTATGGTAAAGAAGACTTGAGTTTGCAATACTTCTGTTTTTATTTGCATCACTTTTAAAGCTTCTCAATACTAGAATGGCAGCATATGAGAGTAATGCATCCATACAAAAATATTAAATGGACTTGCATTATTATTAGGTGATTTATATAGTGTTAGCCTTAAAAGGATCAACATTGTATGGTCTACACATGTCATGATTCAAACAGCTGTTATATGAATTGAGAAGTACTTTATAATTTGTTTTTTCTGTTATTTTAAACAACGCCGCACGAACATGCCAACTTTCTCTCACACCTTGTTGTTTAGGTGCTAGTGATTTTTTAATTTTGAAAAACTTTTCTTTTTCTTTCCAGGAAAACAATTGGAAGACTCTGGAGTTTTGAATGGATCTGTTAAATTACGAGGTAATTCATGGGGTTTACATATGCCCCTTGTTTGTCCGGATGGTGCTGTTGTAGCATATGCATGGAAACGTCAACTCGCTGGTCAAGCTGGCGCATCTGCAGTTGATAGAACAAGGTATATAGATAGAACTTAAATTTTATAAATGTGAATTGACAAGTTTTACTCTACTTTTTATATGCTTGAACTCCATTCCAATTTCTTACCTGCTATTAGAGCTTTTCCAATGAAATTTATGCTACCATTTTCCTCTTATTTTGTCAAAATTAATTCAGTTGTCATTCAATGAGTTTCTAAATATATCTGCCGGTCTGCCCCTTATGGAATAAGTTAGGCATTTTAAACCCTAAGTACTTTTAGCTGCACCAGCTCTCATTGAGGCCACCATTATGAAAAAACAAATTTAATATTGAGTCATATTTATGCGCCATATTGCTGGGGTTAGGTTAATCAAATTAATTGTTAAACATGGATTAGATTCAACAACGTGCTAAATCTGGATTGGCTTTACTTGGCAATATGAGGTCACTTTAGTTTGAGTCACCTGCCACCCCTTGGTCGATCTCTTTGACTGGAACTTTTTTTGATACTTTAGAGTTACCTATATGGGCATGTATGCATATACTCTCCTGGTTGGGGATTTGATGTTACTTGTAGTTTAGTTTGCTTAAATTCATTTGTCTATGGGTTTAGTTGAAATAATTAGAATGCTTGTGCATTAAATTTAATTGCCCATTACATATTGGTCTGACCTATGGAGAGTTCACCCAATATTTGTACAGGATATGCATGAGTCCTATGAAAATATTCAGAGGAATTTTGCTGTAAATTATTGCCATTACATGTTTTGTTTTTATCAAATAAGATATATTTGAAAGGGGATTTGATGATGGTTTTCCTGCACTCAAAGATTCCCTCAGGTAACAACCAGAAATTGGCAGCTACAAGAAAAAGTTTCATTTAGAGTTTTGTGGCAACTTGGGTATGAACCGCATGTGAGTTGGTGAACGATCAACAAATGTCTTGCTATTTTCCTTATCTCCACTTTCTTCTCCTCAGGATTTTTTGGATGATAAACTGATATACTGTCATGCAATAATTCACTTGTGCCTATGCCATCTTATTTCAAGAGTTTCTACAGTACTATATGCAAGTTTACCCATCAGAATTTACGCATTCACATAATCATGCACACTACATTTAAATTCTAATTTTCTTATAACCAATAATCTGGTTAATACGAAAAATTCCAAAGTAGTCCCCAGACTATTCGTGTTGTCCGATTTAGTTCCAAAGTATGACATTACCTCAATTTAGCCCCCTCTCCCCGACTATGCAAAATTGATCCAAAATAGTCCCACATTTTATAATTGTGAATTGTAATATAAAATTAATCCCAATTTAGCCCCCCGGCTTTACAAAATTCATCCTAATTTTGTTCCAAAGAGACCATTTTGATAATTTTATATATTTGAGGGACTAAATTGAAGCATTGTTATACTCTACGACTAAAATGGGCATATACAAATAGTCGGGGAACTATTTTGAAATTTAACCCTCTAGTTAATATATATGAATAAATCATTAGAAAAATGCATTTACTCCACATTTTAAACTGGGGAATTTCTTAAATTGAACTTAGTTATGACCCCTTTTCCTATCCAATTTAGTAATAGTGCCTTAACCGGCCATAATCATTATTAATTTCAAATAGTTTGAGGCCTTTTGAAGTTTACCTTAAAAACTAAGGATGTAACTAAGCGCTATAACCTATAAATTTGGAGTGAGTTCTTCAAGCGGAAGAGAAGAATGTATTCTTATAATAGTGGAAACTTTTCTAATTCTTAATTGTCTATCTTGAATAAATTGAAGGGGAGAGCAGACCCGTAATTACCTTCTCATGATCTTATATGGCTGCTCTCCACCAAATCAAAGGGTGATTGGACCTCTTTCTCTTTTAGGGCTTGATGCCATTAACTGTCTTTTGATTTTCTTGTTAATTTCTTCCTCTTATGCTGTCAATATCTATTATATTCTCGCAATTGGCAGGCTAGCTCTCAAGGCATTCACTGATCAGAAGAGGCGTTTTTTCCCTCACTTGGAGGATGAGGCATTTACTCAATGTAGTGAGGGGGAGCTTGGGGTTGCTAAGAAACCCTGTTTTTCTCACGGATTACTGCCAGGGCATAAAGATGAACTTAGGGAAGAGAGAACATTGCCTGACATCATTAATAGCCTTCAATGCATAGCGCCTGATATCAAAATCTATACATATCAGCGCCTTGATTGGTTAAAGAGAGCTTCTTCGTTATCATCATTGCCAAGTGATCATTTGGTCGACTCATCAAACGAATATGGCTTACAAAGTAGTAGCAACTCGACATCAGTTTTAGGAAATGCTGCTTCTATCTCAGAAGATCAAGTTGCTGTTATCGAATTGCTTTCACCTTCTGTTTTCAGAGCTGTAGTTTCACTGCACCCGACAGGATCCATGAGCCCTGATGCAGTGGCATTTTTCTCCACAGATGAGGTACTGTTCTTAAGGGACCATATTTGAAGGCATGCCTAATTGTAATTTATGCATAAACTTGAGAAATTATCTACTTCATTAGTTTCTTAAAAGGTGGCTGTTTGACATCCTTATTTTCCTGATTTTTTTTTAAGTTCATTAATATTTATCGTCTTTTATTTCTTGGTCAGTTTAAGGTTTTGTTTGGAACAACTTTTTTTCTGCTTTTTAAAACGGCTTTCTAGTACAAAAAAATCTAATTTATAAAATTTTTGTACTAGGAAACTATTTTAGAAAGCAACAAAAAAGCTGTCCCAAACGAAGCCTATGTTTGCATCTACTCTTTCCTACATTCAAGAAGACTTTAGAAGAGTGACAAATCATTGGTGTTTGATAAACTACCATCTAATACTTTGCATAGTGCTCATTATTTTGACCTACCTATGCTTTTCCATTGTGATAAAACATATAGACGCTGGACACATATTTGACTGCACTGGAATTGGTTTCAATATTTCTCTGTTTGCACCTTTGCTTAAAAAAATTACTTGAGGTAGTTATCTAATTGAATCCATTAATTTTTTTTGTAGGGTGGAAGCTATGTTCATGCGAGAGGTCGGTCTGTCTTTCATGTTTTCTGGCATGTTACGGTAATGATTACAGTTTTCCAATTTTCCTTCTTGTTGTGGATGGTTTTTGCTGGTGTTTTAAGCATCTAAGCTGCTTGCTTGCAGGAATATGCTGATAAGGCATTGCAATATTTTCAGAGTACTAACGTGGATACCTCACTTTCACTTATTTTGGTACTTCTTATCCCTGATTGAATGCTCATCAATTTGTGAAATATAATTGCTTGGCTTGTCTGAGAAAGAATCATTATTTTGATTGTATTCTTTGTTGATCTATTAAATTATTACACTGTCTCGTTTAACTTGAAAATGCTTTCTTTATACATGAGACATACTTCTGCATAAAGGTTTTATGATATATCCTCTTAGAGTCATTGCAATTTCCATTGTCCTTTCCTTGATCGCTTGTAGATAATGTGATATGACGTTTAATATTGTCACCTTTCCAGCGCTGGATCTGCAGCTACCAAACCTTGTTTACAAAGGTCTGCAGGTAATGTCTGCATTGCACACTTTATACCCTTATATTGTTATTTTAGTATAGAATTTTAAATTACATTCTTGATGCAGTAAATGTGAGCGATTATTGATGATGGATGAGTCCTTAGCTTTAATATTACCTCCAGTGCACCGTGCCTATCAGAATACTTCTGCATCAAACTCTCATCCAAACCAGTTGACTGCATCTGACAGGGGCCATGGTAGCGATTTTATCTTTGCCTACCATATTGGGTGCTCAAATAATGATTTGTGATGCTGTTCGGATGCTTTCAGAACTTTAGTTCAACTGGTTTCTTGATTGACTATTTCATTTTTCTCTTGGCTGTCAAATTCATAGAAAGGTAAGTTATTCTAGTACGCTCTTTCACTATGGCTCTGCCTATCATATGTTACCATTCAAAAGTTAAGATTTATCAAATTTTATGTTATTGAGGTCCTGTATTACCTTTTAGCAAAATTGTTGCCCTCAATGTTTGCATCATATAGGGCTTCAGAGAGTTTAAGTAAAGAAAATAAAGACTATGTAATAGAATAAATAAAAACAATTATTTTTATGTTATAATGCGTTTAAATTGAGGAGAAGGATTTGGTTCTTTGTCAAACAAGATATGAAAAGTAAATCAAGCAGCAATCGGTCAGATGATGCAGAGGATGCAAGTTAAAGTAAAAAATGTGTGTGTCTATGTGTGCGCTTTGCTGGGATTGCTTTGTTGGGTGGGGGAGTTGCTAGAAAAAGCATTAAATCATAATTAAGAGAATGTATTATAAAATACTGTTAAAATTAAAACTAAAATATCCTCATTATTTATTTTTTTAATTTTGTTATAACGATATTCTAATAGGAAGTGGGAGAGCTTTCAACCCAAAACGGAAAAATTGAAAGAAGAACAAACAGCGAATCATTTTTATTACTAGAAATATGAAAAAAAAGTAACAAGATATAAGGATCTTCAATTGGAGAGGAAGATCCAACTCTCTCAAACCCTAGCCACTAGCTAGAGCTCAAAATTCCCTAAGCCCAAACTAATTTTAGCCATAATCAAGCATAATCCCCTCCCTAGGGTAAAACAAACTATTAAAAGCATGCAAATCAAAACAAAATACCCAAACAGTCCTTTGATTCAAATTTCCCCTCCTAAATAATCCCTAAATACCTTCTATATATGGCTGCTGGGTGTTTTAGGAGAGGAGGCGGACACTAGTGGGTGGAACTTTTGTTCCACCTGTTGTAAACCTAAGCTAGTCTAGGATGGACCGGCTGGACCGGTCTAACAATACCTCTATCCCAAAGACCCACCTTGTCTTCAAGGTGAAAGGACGGGAATTAATGTTTTACCCTCTTATACGGCTCCCATGTGGCGTCATACTTAGGTAGGTTCTTCCACTTTATCACCACTTCCTTGCTTCCTCCCTCTCCTTGTCGTACTCTTTTCAGCTTTAGTGGTTTCAATACTACCTACAAATCCTCTGTCAAGGTCATTGGTAACTCCGCACTGAAAGCATGATCCCCAATTAACTCTTCTCAAATGTGACACGTGAAATACCACGTGTATTGTAGCGGTCGGTGGTAATCTCAATCGATACGCCACAACTCCAATCTTCTTCAATATCTCATAAGGGTCAAAGTATCTTGGGGACAGCTTTTCATTCCTCCTATTAGCCACCATCCTCTATCTGTAGGGACAAAGCTTCAAATACATCCTATCTCTTACCTTAAACTGAATGTCCCTCCTGTGCCCATCTGCCTTCCTTTTCATGATATGTTGGTCCCTCAATAAGTGCGTTTTCAATTCCTCCAGCACCCTATCCCTCTCATCTAGGCACTGCTTTACTGAAAAGACTGGTGTGCTATTCTGCCCAAAGTGCACCAAGTGAGGTGGACCCGGACCCCTTTCATAAAACACTTTAAAATGAGTCATCTGGGACATTGAATGATACAAAATGTTGTATCAGTGCTCTCTGCCCACGCAAGCCACTTGGCCCACAATCGAGGCGTTTTTGAAGCAAAGCATCGCAGGTATGCCTCCAGGCTCCTATTTATCACATATGTCTGCTCGTCTGTCTGAGGGTAGTAAGCGGTGCCCCTCTTCAGCACGGTCCCTACAGCCTGAACATCTCCCTCCAAAAGTGATTGAGAAACACCTTGTCTCAGTTGGACACTATAGACTATGGTGTCCCATGCAATCTGATCACCTCTCTAATGATTGTTGCCGCCACTGTTATTGTCATGTAAGAATGTCATAAGGGAATGAAATGAGCATACTTTCTTAGCATGTCCACCATCACCAAAATCACTATAAACCCCTCAGATAGAAGTAGCCCATATATGAAATCCATAGAGACCCCCTCCCATGCTCTGCTTAGAAGAGCTAGGAGTTGTGGCAGTCCACCCGGAGCTATAACCATGTACTTGTTCCTCTGGAATATCTCACACCTGACCAACTATATCCTTGTGCATCCCCTTCTAATATAACTCTGCAGCAAATCTCATGTATGTCTTCTACACACCAGTGTGACCCCCAACAGCGTTCCTATGGAACTCTTGTAGCAAGTGTGGGATATGAATCGAGGTCCGTGGCAGCACAAACCTCCCGTGGTACAGCAGTCTGTCCCTCTCTAGGGTATAACCACGGTGGCTACTCTCATCCTTCAATATATTTGCGCTAATCCCTCTTAGCTCCTCATTTTGCACACTCTCCTCCTTAATAACCCCCCAATCCGACATCAATAGTATCGAAATGACTAACTCCAAGAGCTCCCCCACTCATCTGGACAAGGCAACAGTTGCCTTATTCTCTAGCCCGTCCTGCACTGGATCTCAAAATCATAGCCCAACAGGTTTGACTACCATATATGATAATCCTTGGTCATGATTATTTGTTCTAATAGGTACTTCAAGCTCCTCTAATCTGTCCTGACGATGAAATATTTGACCAACAAGTAAGGTCGTCATTTTTTAATAGCTAATACAATGGTTATCAACTCCCTTTCATAGACTGACTTCAGCCTAGCTCTGACGGTCAACACTTAGTTGAAATAAGCTATGAGCCTGTCTTCCTGTGATTCTGCATGAGCATTGCCCCCAATCCATAACCAGATGCATCAATCTCTACCAAAAACATTTGACTGAATTCGGTAGGGCCAGGGCTAGCACCGTGGTCATGACTGTCTTTAATCTCTAAAAAGGCCGGGTCACTACCTCTCCCCATAAGAGGCTATCCTTCTTCAACTGTTCTATCAGTGGTCAAGCTATGGTGTTGTATCCTCTCTCGAATCTCCTATAATACACAGTTAATCCTAGGAATTCTCTTAGCTCCATCAGATTCCTAGGTAGAGATTATTTCAACATTGCCTCAATCTTGGCCTAGTCAACAGCCACCCCCTCGTGAGATACCATGTGCCCAAGTACTCCACATTGGCCTGCACAAAACAACACTTCTTTAGGTTGGCGCTCAGCTGATGCTCCTATAACATCTATAAGACCACCTCAGATGCTTTAAATGCTCCTCATTGGACCTGCTATAACCATGAAAAATTTCCTGAGATATGGTTGAAACACTATGTTCATGAGGAATTGGAAAGTGGTTGGGCCGTTGGTGAGGGCAAGCGACATCACCAAGAACTCATAGTGTCCCTCGTGTGTCCTAAATGTTGTCTTCGGAACATCCTCTCTCTCATTTATATATGATGGTAACCAGACATTAGGTTCACCTTTGTGAATTTCATCGCTCCACAAAGCTTGTCTAGCAACTCACTATCATCGGAATAGAAAACTTATATAGCACAATCTCCTTATTCAGGGCCCAGTAATCCACAGAAAATCTCCAACTCTCATCATTCTTCTTGATCAATAGAATTGAGCTAGAAAAAGGGCTTGCACTCAATCTGATGATCCCTGTCTCCAACATTTCGCGGATTATCTTTTCAATATCTTCTTTTTGGATCTGAGGGTAGCGGTAAGGACTGACAGTGATTATGAAACCCCCTCCCTCAAAGTGATGGCGTGCTCCTGCTCCCTCAGTGGTGAAAAACCTTGAGGTGATTGAATAACCTCACTGAACTGCTGTATGACTGGCTATATCGAGAGAGGGATGTCCCCCTCTTCCTCTCCTCTGATCTCCTCTAAGCTCTGCAGCTCCACTAGAAATCCCCCTCCCACCTCCTGTATGGCCCTTACCTGGATTGGAAAAGAATTTCATGTAGGGACTTAGGGAGGACATATGAGCAAAGGAGAGGAATAGGGGGACATTTGAGAAGTCTGAGCCATTCAAGCAGGAGACCTCTATTTTCTTCGTCGTTATAGGTCCCAAAAGGGCGCTTTGATACCAATTTGATAGAAAGTATGAGAGATTGCAACCCAAAACAGCGAACCACAAGTGAAAATTTGAAGAACGACACACCACAAATCACTTTTATTGTTAGAAATATGAAAGAAAAACAACAAGAAACAAGGATCTTCAATTGGAGGAAGATCTGACTCTCCCAAACCCTAGTCACTGGCTAGAGCCCAAAATTCCCTAAGCACAAACTAATTTAAGCCAAAATCAAGCATAATCATCTCCCTAGGGTAAAACAAACTATTAAAAGCATGCAAATCAAAACAAAATACCCAAACAACCCTTCAATTCAAATATTCCCTCCTAAACAATCCCTAAATACCTTCTATATATGGTTGTTGGGCGTTTCAGGAGCGGGGGGCAGACCATGGTGGGTGGAACTTTTTTTCTGCCTATTGTAAACCTGAGTTAGTCTAGCTTGGACTGGCTTGACCGATCTAACATATTCCTCAAGCTAGTGCATGCATATCATGAGGATTCAATTTACTATAAAGATTGGATAATTGAAGTAATCGTAGAACCTTTGTAAAGACATTTTATTATTATTCTTCACTTGAGACTTGAGGTGTTTTTAGACTGGATATCTCTGATGAAATGATCGACTATTTTAATATGTTTTGTTCTTTCATAAAAAATTGCATTGCTTGTAATATGGATAACTACCTTATTATCATACTTGAGAACAATACGCTTAGCAACAAGAAATTCAAATTATTCAATCAGAGTTTTAATTTACATCATTTCATAGGCGGAATACGTTATTGCTTTTTATTCTTCTTCAATGTTAGATCTAACAAAATCTTGCTTTTTTGCTTCTCCATGAAACAAGATTTCCCCAAAAACACAATATTCGGAGCTAGACTTCCGATCTTCAATTGATCCATCATGTTCAACATCGAAGTAGGTTTCAAATTAAGTAGGTTTATTTTTGATAAAATGATGGTAAAACATCAACTTAGGTATAAGATTTTATCGATGTATAATTTCTATTGTAACATTTCGAAGAGTAATAGAGAGCGGGTATTAGATTTTAGAGGTAGGCTCTCACTTGTAGTTGACAGAATGATCAGAGGTGTATTAGTGGCAGGCCATCAGGGTGATCATAAACCTGTAGTGAGCAAGAGCAAGTACCAGAGCAATAGGCGGAAGTGGAGTACTGGAAGGATATTCTATAATAGAGGAGATATATTAATACTATGGGATATTTAATGACAGGTAATCTGCAATATATAAGAGTGACTGGCAGATGGGTCATTATAATGATAACCTTTATGAGTTGGTGGATAACTCAGGAAGACTTTTAATAACATGTAGAGAAAATTTGTTATACTTTGGACAAAAAAAATGGTCAAAACATACACCGGCAAGAAGAGTGATGTATTATACCATTTTCAGCATAGAAGGAATGAAATATAGATTGCATGTATGCTAAGGCATTATCATAACAATAAACTTTAAAAGAAATAGAAAGTTGAACATTTATTTTTTGGTAAAATTTTTTTGAAGACATTAAAGACTTCAAGCCAACACTTTAATAAGTATGCCCATACAACTCTAATGTAATCATCAATAATAAGGGCAAGGTAACGATATTCCATATGAATTAGTCATTGCTGCATCTAGAACTACGTTGCAATCTTGTTTGTATTGCAATAATATCTTTCTAAACCTGCAATATAACCTCGCTTTTATCGTAATTTTCTCCTAATAGACCTACATCACAACACCGCTTGCACATTGGTTGTCGTTACCTTAAGACCAACACAACAAACTTGCTTAAATCATAATCTTCTTCCTCAAGACCTGCACTATACAACCTTGCTTGAGCCGCAATTATCTCCTTTAAGATCACCATAATCTTACAAGCTTTGCAGCCATCCCCTTCAAAGCCTGCATCATAATAGCCTTGCTGTAAGGCCTACGCCATAGTCTTCTTCAATAAGACATGCATCATACTTGGATCGTAGTTGTCTTCAACTAGGATTACACTACGACCACTTTTGGTCATAGTCATCCCTACCTTCACATACATCTATAATATTACGAAGGACATAGCATCTGCATTGTCTTTATTAAATGCCAAAAAGGCATCGTTTACTTAAATCCATCTAATTATTTAGGGTGGACTACCGTTGTCCTAATGCTCTATAAATTGTGGATGATGTTCAATTGATTTAGGTCCTCTAATCATTGTTTAAAATTGTTTGTTTAAAATTGTGCAATATGAGGTTCTCCTTGAGGCTCTCAACGCAATTCAAGTGAAAAATGTCTCGAGGCATACTTTTTTTATGAGGCTTGCGCCTCAACTTGGTTGAGGCCCGCCTTGAGGTGCGTCTCGCCTTATTGTCGTGAGGCGTGTGTGGTGTGTATATATATATATATATATATAAACTTATTTAAATTCTAAATTGAAGTCTTGAACAAATCATGCATTTATGCACCCCTAAGATGCCGCAACTTCCTTTCAACCGCCACGACCTCCAACCCATTTCCTTTGCTGTAGTCACGACCATCATAGCTACCATTGAGAATTACCTGAATGCCGCACACCACCACCTCCTCCTCTAAAAATTTTGGAGTATTATTCTCATAGGATCAGGCTGGGAGAGACTAATTTGTTATGATGACGACTCAAATAAAGACCTCTCGGTCATGAAAGTGTAGATGATTTCTAAGTTGGTTGCCAATTATATAAGCTTTTTTCTTTAAGAATTAAATGTGGATGAGTAAGGAGCTGAGAAAGAAAGAATTTGGAGTTGAACTTATTATTATAGGAAAGTTTTACGTAATTCCTATATTTCATGTTGTTTTGCTCTTGAAATATTTGGATTTAATTAATTTCACGCAAGTTATCACTTGTCATTTAACGTCTTGTGCAATTTTTTGTTTTGTGTATGCCAATTTGTCACTTCATAGTTCAATAGAAATTTTTTTTTTAAAAAGTTCAATAGAAATTTAATATGTCATTATTTAACATATTATTTTTGTATTATACAAAAAATCACTTTTAACCTTTATTTTTACTTACGCAATTTTTGGATTTTGAGACCTACGTTTCAAAACATCTTGAGACTTAATATTTCATCTCAAAAAAAAAAAAAAAAAAAAAAACGCCTCGATACCCAATTGCTCAATTTCAAACCTTGCCTCTAATTTTTACCCTCAAAAGATTGTCATATAAAAATTTCATCTCACACTCGTCTGTATTTGACTAATAAAAAAAAAAAGGTTAAGAAGATTGAGATTGTTCCTCATTTCACCCGCTCGTTTTCCTGCACGCATCAATAATGCCACATATTTCTGCTTTTAAAAAAAAAATCTAATAAAACATCTACAGGCCGCCATTCTTATGGTTTAGTTGCTTTAAATTTCAGGTTTTTGACTATAAAGCTGCAAGCACTTTGTCTATTGACAGATGACTCTGGTTTTGAATGCAGTTTTGCTAAACCGCCACGTTTATGTTCTTTCGCCCACTAGTGGTGAACAAGTCTGTTAGAAATTCTGTCATCTATCTTGTCAGATGTAAATCAGTGTTGTTTGTATAAACAAATTTGAATAAGAAAAGTAATTCAAGAAACCTCTATGTGTTCTCTTTCCCTCACCTTTTAAAATTTTTATCCTAATTATTGTCACATTTACCGTTGATAATTTCGTTCTAGAACCTGTGGCTGAACAAATTATTTGTTTAGTAAACTAATTAAGACCCCTTCTTGCCATTATCTTCTCAAACCAATACGCTGCTTTCAAAATTGACCAGCTATTTCCTTTTCTAAGGTTTGTTTGGGACGACTTTCTTACTGCTTCTTAAAGCAGCTTTTTAGCACAAAAATTAAATTTTTTGTTTTAGAAGGCTGCTTCAAGAAGCGGTAAGAAAGCCGTCCCAAATGAAGCCTAAATCATCTCTTAATTCTTTTATCTGTTACTCTAACTCAACTATCAAATTGAATGTGACTTTCTTGCAGATTAATGGCTAGAATTGCTGTGTAAAAGATAAATGGCATCGTTCCATTGGTTATTACCAGAAACATTATCAATCTCTCTTCTTTTTATTGCTATATTTTTGTGAATTAGTTCATTTGTCACGGTCGTTTCAAGAGAGCTTCCACACTTGCTTATATCTCAACGGTCGACTTGGCAATGTCATGACGCTACTACTATCCTGACCAAGCCAGCGAACCAAACATTCAGGTAAAGGGCCACAGACTTTGTCACATCGCATGAATAATCCAAAACGTCTTCAGATATTTATTTAAATAGGATAGGAAGATTGTTAAGATATAGCTTCAGTTATCTGCATTTCTTTTTTTTAAACTCATCATCCTCTTTAGCAGGGCAAATTATTGTGTCCGGTGTCCAGATTCGTCCGGACACCAATAAAAACATGCCACATCACTCAAAAATACCAGGGACCAGTGCATCCGGGTGAGATGACGTCTTTGGATTGGTTGTCCGCATGTCAGGTGATCGGACGCAATAATTTGCCCTTTAGCAGATGCACTCAACCTAATCATTTATACAAAACTTGCATAGTCTTTCGATGCTGTTCACTATCTAGAGAATGTCTATCACTTCATAACTTTATGATCTGTCCAAAAGCCTAGGCTTTGTTTGGAACGGCTTTTTTATTGTCTCTTAGGCATCGTTTTGGGTGGCTTTTACTGCTTTTTAAATTAAATTTTTAGTATAAAAATTAAAATTTTTATATTAAAAAATTATTTTAAGAAACAATATGAAAGCAATCCCAAACGAAGTCTTAGGCTTCGTTTGGAACGGCTTTCTTATTGCTTCTTAAAGCAGTTCTATAATACAAAAATTAAAAATTTTGTACTAGAAAGTTGTTTTAAGAAGCAGTCCCAAACGAAGCCTTAAAGCAACTTTTTAATTCAAAAATTAAAAAAGTTGTTTTACGAAACAGTAAGAAAGTTATCTCAAATGAAGCCTAAAACTTGATTAGGATAACCTATATCCTAAGTATTTGTGTCACAGTCTAAAAATTGAATTAATACCAATTCAAAGCTATTATAATATGTTCGAAATCGATGTAATTTATGTAAAATAGAATTGATGAGTTGTTGATAACATTTTAGTAATAATAAGTATAATTTCTAAAAAACAGAATATGGAACAAAATGGGTCCCATGCATGGAGAAATTATTCTGTGCGAAGGCTAGACATAGCTCTATGTCTGGACGAAAATCAAGAGCAGCAACGTCAACAATACCGAGCCTCGGTACTGAATACTACCAAATTACCATACACAACGAAAAGGTGATGAGGTGCTTTTTGGTTACCATAGAATAATTAATCCCACAAAAGTTAAACGGCAGCTAAACTCTTATAGGAAGGAGAGATTATTAGGTGGGGAGTGCGGACGAGGAGAACTGTCCGCACAAGCATTGGGTACTTAGTTAGGTACCACTCGGTATCGCTGGGTACCGTTAGGTATCTAGTATTTTGCGGACGGTGCGCATTCCGTACCTAATAATTTTTCTATAGGAAGACCCGGTTAAGTAATAATGATTTTAAAATCCAGTAATCAATGGAGACACATTAAAAAATTATATATAATGATGGCTATGAGATCAAACGAAAAGTACGCATAGTATTATGTAATGTCTGTGGGGTGGTCACCTTTCGTTTTTTGAAAGGGACCAACTATTTATTAATGGGGACGTGCCGAATTTTCACAGTTGGGCCGGTTAGGTTCCAAATAGGTTGCTTTCAGTGCCCGATGCTGCCTAGCTCTTATTAATTATTTGTTAATGGTCTAACTCTGGTTTGTTTCGGCTGTTCTTATTTGATAATGGTCTTGCTGAAAGACTTATCCTTTTTAATTAAGGTGATTATGCTTCTGAAGTCAACAATCGCTGCAGTATTAAAATCATTTTAGGATCTGTTTGGGGTTGTTTTATGAATTTATTATGAGAAAATATTTTTTTAAAAGATACTATAAATATATATTTCTAAAGTCGAAGAATAACTTTTTATAAATGTCACATATTATAAGATCTAGTTGTAAAAAAATAAATTTTTATTATAAAATCTTTTGAAAAATAGCAATCCTCGTTGTATGCAGCGTTCGATGTTCGCGTATTGCGAGGTATTACTCGGTATTTGCTTGGTATTGCTCGGTATTGCTAGGTATTGCTTGACAATAACGAGAAATACCGCTCTGTGAAGACAAATCCGAGTAATACCGAGAAATACCGAGTTGTACCGAGTTTTTTCTTACCGAGTTTTTCTAGAACTCGGTATTTGCAAGAAATACTGAGTTGTACCGAGTTTTTCTAGAAATACCGAGTTGTACCAAGTTTTTCTAGAAATACAAACTCGGTACAACTCAGTATTTCTCGGTATTTGCTCGGTATTGGTTATTGCCGAGCAAAATCGACCAATACCTAACAATACCGAGCAATACCTAGCAAAATCGAGAAATACCAAGCCATCCTGGGTCCGTTCCGGCAGGCCGCGCGGTAAATAGTGAGAACGCGTGACGCGATTCTATTGGCGACCGAACGTACGTAGAGATACGTCCTGTGACCGGACCAAATAAAAGTTCTGTAAAAAGGGGGGATTGGTGAGTATTAACATATAAAATAGATTTAGAGGGAATATAAACATAAATAATAGTATTTTTTTTTTAATTAAAATGGAATTTGAATAAATCCTTTTGTTAATGAGGGGAGAGAATTAGTGCATTTTTGGAGTAAAAACCGTGTGTAAATTGTATTGCCATCTTTTTTTTTGGACATTTCGGCCAATTAAGGTAAATGCACACACACATTGCATACACAAAAACTGAAATCAAGACCTATTAGTTGGTAGCCTAAACTCTCAACCAATAGGACAAGGTGAGTTGTGTTGTGTAGACTCAAACCAAGGTTTCATTTGGGTCGACTTTATCACTTATTCTTAAAGCAGCTTTTTAATTAAAAAATTAATTTTTTTATTAGAAAATCATTTTAAGAAGTAGTAAGAAAGCCGTCATGCTTCATTTGGGACAACTTTTTATCATTATTTATTTGTTGTTTTCATAAAATTTTTATTTTATAAAGCTATTGTAGAAAGCAGTATGAAGTTGTCTCAAATGAAATCTTAATGAAGCGGAAACTAATTTGAATGGGTTTGTCACGCTTGCTTAGTTAATTGAATAAGATTATACTTAATTAAGATTATTCAAAATATAATTGAATAAATTTTTATATCGGCAAACTTACTCATTGAGTTCCAAAAAATAATTGTTGATTGTTCTGCACATAATTCGACAACTTAGGCTTCGTTTGGAAAGATTTTATTATCGCTTCTTAAAGTAGTTTTCTAGTATAAAAATAAAAAAAATTATATTAAAAATTTACTTTAAGAAGCGATAAGAAAGTTACTCCAAACAAAGCTTTAATCAAATTTATATTTACCTCATGTATTCACATGGAAGTATATCAATAAAAATATGAGTATTAGGTTGATATGGGTTAACTCAAATATTTGATTTAATTTCTTATAATAATATGTTCTTTATTATAAATTAGTTATAGTTTTAGCTTAATAAAAAAAAGAATAAAATTGATCAAGATCTAAAATTTTGGTCGTGTTTAAATTCAGGCTTCGTTTGAGATAGCTTTTTAATTTGTTGCTTCTTAAATCATTTTTTTAGTATAAAAATTAAAATTTTTATACTAAAAAACTGCTTTAAGAAGCAACAAAAAAATCGCCCCAAACGAAGCCTCAGTTTCATCTTCATAAATAAATAAATAAACTTGAGCATTCTTGTTCACATCTTTTTAGTATAAAAATTTATATATCAGCCTTTTATCAGATTTAAAAATTTGATATTTAAAAAATAAAATAATCTGCCATCATCTTTCGTTTAAATTCTCGAGCAAACTATTGAATCAAATCAGTTTTAATTTAAATCTTTTGAATCAAACAAGTCATATCAAGATTAGGCCAAGGCTTCATTTGGGACGACTTTTTTATTGCTTATTGAAACAGCTTTTTGGTACAAAAAAATAAACTTTTGTATTAAAAAGTTGTTTCAAGAAACAGTAAGAAAGCTGTCCTAAACGGAGTTTGATGTTTGACTTAGGACAACTTTTTTGTTGCTTTCTATAGCAATTTTTTCATACAAAAATTTCTAGTTCAAACAAAGTCTTGGGCTTCATCTGTGATATTTTTTTACTGCTTTATACAGTTGTTGTTGAGAAAATAAATTTTTAAAACTATTATAAAAAATATATTCTTAATACCAAATTTCTTAAAAACAATAAAAAAATAATGTTCAAAAAAGAAATTATGATTGTAATCTTAAAAGCAAAGCTATGAAAAAACTATCTTAAATTAAATCTAAAATATCTTATTAGATAAAAACTAATTAATATTGGATTAATTTTTACTTAATCTGATTTGAAATTGAACTATAAGCTTTACTTTGTGTTAAATAAAAATTGTATATGCTTGATTTCAAGCCATTAAAATCTACATTCTTTAATTTTATTTATTTTAATTTAGAGTACTACCCACCCTACCCTAACAAAGTCACATGGGATGCACACTACACTGTGAGTGTGAGCCTATTTACATAATTTTTTAAAGTTCTATCTCCACAGTGGAGTACTAGCCTCACTACCAAAAAATAAGGTTTTCGCAGCACAATTTTTCATATTTCACGGCGGTTATAACCGCTACTATTTTCTTTGCAGCGGTTTTAGAACCGCTACATTACCGCTGTG